TTTTTTGGAATCGGGGATCGAACTCAGGACCTTGCGCTTTCGAGGCAGGCGGTGGCACCATTGAGCTAAATCCCCGGCCCAACCTGCTTGATTCTTAAGTATGTTTCCAACTGCTCCCAGTCCCGTTTCCTATTAGAGACCCAATGGAACGGTAAGGAAATGGGGGCTGGCCAAGAGAATGTCACCAAAGTCCCAGTTCCACCCGCCTCTTCCCAGCAGCGTTAAGGATCAAAGGGGCAGGGCCTCAACTTAACGTGGGCACCACCCTTTCCCTCAGCACGCCGTGTGAAGGGTTCTAACTCGGCCCACCCTCCAGGATTTAATGCTTTTACTTGGATGTTCGTGGGCACTACACTCGACACCCCTTCTTTCACCTCCGCAGGCCCGCCCCTTCCGTTAATGCTCCTTTTGGCGCCTGCGCGCTGGCGCCTTACGGCGGAAGTAGCCCTGCGTCTCCTGCCCTCTGACACATTGGGTGCTGGGGAGGGAAATGGGGACTGCAGGATGCGTCACACCCGGAAGTGGAGAGCCGGAAGTGGGGTTGGGCAGGTTATCCCCAGGGTTGGGGAAGTAGAGGCCCTGAAAGAGGCGGAAAAAAGAGGGCGGAGGATCCTGGCTACTACTCTGAATCGGAAAACGATTCTCTTAGAACTCAGAGACACAGAAAAAGGGAAGAGTGTCTCATCCCATTCCTCCTTTCCTCCCTTTCCGCAGCCTCAGCCATGGCCGAAGCAGGGGCCGGGCTGAGTGAGACCGTCACTGAGACAACGGTTACCGTGACAACCGAACCCGTGAGAAAGGCGGGGGGGGGGCGGTGCTGTTTGGGGGTCTGGGAGATGCCGGAAGGAGGGGACAGGGCTTTAGGAAGTTTCCGGAGGGGTCGGATTTGGGAATCTGGGAGATGTGGGGTTGAATATCGACTGCGGGGATCGCAAGGGATTGGGAATATTTGGTGTGGCAGAGACGTTGCAGGAGGATAGAAAGGACCGTGTAATAGGGAGTTAGGATGTAATTGTTATTGCTTGGGGTGGTGGTCTAAGAAACAAACTGGGGATTAACTAGCAAGAGAGGTGCTAGGAGGAAATGAAAGGCTATGTAAGAAAGTATGGTTGTCGGGCAGCAGTAGGGGGACTTGACCGTAAGCATACTTAGCAATGGATTATTATTCAGTGGATGAGTGTAAAAGGAAGTGGAGAGAATGAAGAAACAGGAAATCAAAATGACAGTGGTATTTTGACAAATCAGGGAGGGCGATGTAAATCAGCATATGTATTTTTTTTTTTCTTTTTTGCAAAAGCAAATTGTCTTTTTCAAAGGGAGATAGTTGCATGGGGTTTAATAATCTCAGCTTAAAGACAGTTTATTTTGTTGTTACTGTTTGGTACTGGGGATGGAACTCAGGACCTTGAGCTTGTGAGGCAGGTGCAGTGCCACTGAGCTAAATCCCTGGCATAAAGACAGGTTAGTAGTTGAGTCATAATTGCTACCAGAGATGCCAAGATTTGGGATGCTAGGAATAGGTGGATCAGGTAAGGAGGGCTGGGGTTGAGGATGAGAGAGGTGAGAATGCAGGTTTTTCTTTAGTGGGAAAAGAAATAAGGAGTCCAGCAAAAGAAAGGGAGATTACTGATTATTCTCTGGAGACTGAGAAAAATATTTTTCATGTGTTAATACCATCAAGGATGATGTGGGGAGGTTTTCCTTTTGAAGGTTTGCTGGGACCTTCCCTAGGTTAGGAACTGTGTCTTCTCTGTATACTAGTGATTGCCAAGAACAGGAAAAAATGCTTCTCCAGGACTCCCTGAAGTCAAAGACCTGTTCTATTTTGTCTTCCAGTACTCTGCTCTTCTGGGGCTCTATCTGTGGTACTGATTGAGCTGAGGAAGAAAAGAGAGGAAGTCTCCTGGGAGGGAATGGGAAAGGTCAGTAGGAGGAGACTAGGTAGGTATACCTCTTCATCTTCTAGGAGAACCGGAGCCTAACCATCAAACTTCGGAAGCGGAAGCCAGAGAAAAAGGTGGAGTGGACGAGTGACACTGTGGACAATGAGCACATGGGCCGCCGCTCATCCAAATGTGAGTCGTTGTGGACCCACGGCAGCCTTCAAACGTCTCCTGGCCTCCCAGAAGCCCCAGGAGGTCACAGTTCTGTCACTTTCCTTGGTGGTGCTCAGGGAAAAGTGGTTAAAGTTAAGGGAAAGAGGCAGAGAGCTTCTAGAACTGTAATATACCAAGGCCTGAGGGCAAGAAGTATCCAGTGGTAGAAGTGGGACTTCAGATTCTTGGTTCCCTAAAGGGACAAGGGGGTTGGGTGCCCAAGTCCCATGGTGTGGGTCTGGAGAAGCCAAGTCCTGTGAAGCAGGAAGAGACAGTAGTGGAAATAGGAATTTTCCGAGATCCCAGAGGAATGGAACTGACTGAACAGCTTATTCTTCCTTCTTTTTAACTGGGCTCCTCCATCCTAATCTAGGTTGCTGTATTTATGAGAAGCCTCGGGCCTTTGGTGAGAGCTCAACCGAGAGTGAGGAGGAGGAAGAGGAAGGCTGTGGTCACACCCACTGTGTACGGGGCCACCGCAAAGGACAGCATCACGCAACCCCAGGACGGACGCCCACCACCCCTCCTCAGCCTCCTGACCCCTCCCAGCCCCCTCCAGGGCCAATGCAGCACTAAATTCCTCTCTTCCGCACCAGTCCTGTGTCTGTCTGGCCCTGAATGTATCCACGTGGCTACCTGGGAACTAAACCCATGGATTGATCCCTTCTCTGGTCCCCCTTTCCCCTCTCTCTGCCTGCTAGAGGAAAGAGGAAGAGAAGGATGAACAGAGACCCATGCCTGGAACTCTGACTTGCTGCTATTCTGGGTCCCTCCAACTCTCATTTCCCCTCCCAGTACTCTCCCTGTTGGGGATCTAGGCATCTTAGTCCCAGTCTCTTCCCTTTGTCCTCACTGCCAAATGCCTGTCCTGGGATCCAGTTACGTGTCTTGGCTCTCTGCATGCTCAACATGAGTCTCATACACTTAACTGGTTTTTGAAAGTCCCAGCTTTCACTGCCAAGGTCCCAGTCAGATTCCAGGCAATCTCGCCCCTGCTATGCGTGTTAATCTTGGCTTTGAGCTCATCCACGTATGGATTTATATAATCCTGATTCTTCGTCCTTGCCTGTAGGATGGTGAGGTCTTCATGGAGAGCACAGGGCCCCAGCCTTTCCCCTCCTGTCTACCCGCCTCATACTCAGAAGGAGCCAGGAGAGAGGGCTTTATCATTTTTACACTAATGGAAAGTGGAACAAGAAATACTCATGTCCTCTCTCCCCACAGTTATAATTTGATACAGTATTTCTGACAAAGCTGGCTTGAGACTGGTCACTTAGAACCAGAAATCTTTTCAGCCTTTGGCCTTTCAGCTTCAGAGACATATAAGAAAGTCCACAGTGGGGGCAGAAAAAGGAAAACAATGGGAGTGAACAAGAAGATGGGGCCATGTCTCCTGCACAGCACTCCTACCCCTGGTAGGCTTAATGTCCACCAGCCCAGATTTCCAGCCATCCGGCTCTCCCTGACCCTTACCGGGATCTGGTTATCATTTTGTGGGCCTCTGGCTGTGCAGAGATCAGTTAAATCCATACCGCCACTGAGACCTCATTTATTGCCACAGATGCACAAAATAAATAACCCAACATCACAAAATGTGTTAAATACAGGCCCATTTATACATACGGGGAAAGATGGGAGAGTACAAAGGGACCCGTTTGAGGCGTCTGGGGCTGTCTGGGTGATTGCCAGCTTGAGGAAGGGGGAAGTAGCACCATGGGTTCCTTCTTTATGGAACCAAGGGGACTCTCAGGAGCGTGGTTAATAGAAGAAGGTTGTGAACATGGAAAGCCGTGGTGGAGTAGAACTGGCTTGCATTCCCCCACCCCCAAAGTAAAGGGTGTTCAGCTTGGTAGAGGTCTGTAGGGTGCAGGCCAAAATCAAGCTCTTGTTTCCCACGACAAGAAACCGCCAGTGGTCAGAACTAGGAAGCCTTTGAAGGTAGGAGAGGCGGGCCTCAGTCCAAACTCGGCCGTTTACCAACATTTGTGGGGCAGAGCATGTGCCCTAATTCAGGTTTCTAATAGCATGGAAAGGGAAGAACTCGGCTCAGAAGTATTGGAGTAGCTGTGGGGAGGAAAGAGGCCCAGAGGGAGGTTTGGGAATGGCTTTGGACATGGAGGTGGGGACCCAGAGGCCAGCTGAGGGCGCATGATCGCATGGGGGTTGGGGGGCGTACTTACAGCCCTGCCACAGGCATTCGGACGTGGTCCCAGAAATGAGTGGGGTCTCTGCACCCAAGGGGAAGCAGCCCCGGGGGTCTTGGGTCCAGACTTTCAGCCCTCTCCAGGCACCAGGCGCAGCGGGGTGCGGGGGTCGCAGGTGCAGAGCAGCGGGAAGATGCGCTGCCCCAGGGGCCCGGGCGCCTGGAAGGCGAAGAGCAGGTCGAGCGAGCGGCCATCGTAGAAGGCCACGCGGCCGCGCTCGCAGTCCAGGTCCACGCGGATGCAGCGGGGCTCCGGCCCGGCGCCGCCCAGCAGGGTGGGCTCCGGGGCCGTGAGGGCCCAGAGGCGGCCGCCGCGGCCCTCCAGGGCCCAGATGGCCTCGGCGGGGCACAGCCGGACGCAGCCCTTGCGTGGCACCGACTCCCCGGCCGCGCCCACGGCGTAGTGGCTCTGGGCGTCTTCCGCGTCCTCCCCGGGGGCGTCTCTGCAGGAGGCAGTCTCCACCTCCCAGCAGTGGCGCCCAGCGCCGAAGCCCTGAGCGCCCAGCACCGCCGGGAGCTGATCAAAGCGCTCGGGGCCGTCTGGGGGCGCTGGCGTCCCGGGTGGGGCCAGGCGGACGCCGCGGCGGTCGGCAGAGACGAGCAGGCGGCGGTGCGCGGTGCCCGGGTCCAGCGTCAGGTCGGCTGGGGGAGCAGGAGAGGCCCGTGAGGGAGGTTTCCGAGTCGGGGGTGGGGACGCCAGGGCGCGCGAGAGACCCGGCTGCAAACCCCAGGGAGCTCTGGGGCTGAAAGCAAGGGGCCTAACTGGACCGGAGGACCGTGCGGCCCAGGGCAGGGCCACAGCTCCGAATCGGAGCAGGAAGACGGGCTGCGCTGCCGCCTTTGGAGGAAGCAGGACTAACACTCCAATCTGCAGCATCTGGAATGGGCCCGGGAGCCGGGTCAGCGGGACCGGTGACGGATCTGCAGAGAAAGACTGCCACCGACACCGGAACCCAGCGACAGCGGGTAGGGGCAGAGAGGGACCAGAGAGCCCTGCAGAACCAGCCACCTCCCACGGCACGAGTGGAGGCTGGCAGGCCTCCTGTACGGTCCGCGGGGCAGAGCAGCGAGATGGAGCCAGACGGAGGGTCCAGAGAGCAAACCGCTGGCCTCGGAGGTGTGGGCTGTTTGGGGAAAGATTCCCGAGCAGGGTCCTAGAAGCTGTCAGGATTCGGGGCCAAGGTGACCAAGAGTCTTCTCTGAGCACTTGGAAGGATGACAGAAAGCAGCCCTGGGAGGGGCAAGAGAGGAAAGGGGACTGCAGGGGTGGAAGCTCCCTCCAGAGCATGCTGCCTGTGACCATGGAAGAGGGAATGGCTGGAATACGAGCAACTGAGTGAGGTCGGACATTGTTCTAGGGTAAATTGTGCCCCCACCAAATATGGTAACATCCCTTCATATCTCCAGATTGACCTTATTTGGAAATAGGGTCTCTACAGGGGTAAACTTTGTTTTGCTTTGTTTTGTTTTTTGAGACAGGGTCTCAGTAGGTAGTCCATGCTGGCACTGAACTCTTGGCAATCCTTCTGCCTCAGCCTCCTGACTGCTGGGAATACAGGTGTGTGCCACCACTACCGGCCTACAGAGGTAAACTTTAAATGAGGGTGGGAAAAAAGGAGGAATGTTTGTAAATTTTTAGATTTATTTATTTATTCAGTACTAGCAATTGAGCCCATGGCCTTTGCCCTGAGGGATACTGCAGGCCTTCTAAACATTTTTTAACATTTTGAGTAGGCAGTCTCACTAAATCACTGTTGCCCGGGCTGGGCTCAAACTTGCATTCCTCCTGCCTCAGCCTCCCAGAGTGCTGGGATTACAGGCGTGCGCTGCCACATCCAGCCAGGATGCACGCTTTCTAGAGCTACAATAGAGCACACCTAACACCCATGCTCATGGAGTTCCCGCCCTCCTCCCCCGTACCTGTCAGTCTGTGAAGCATGTTTTTGACCACAGGGTACTCTTCAGGGAGCTCTTCCTCCGAGTTAGATGACTTGGGCGTGGCGACATTAAACCTGGACAGATGAGGGGAAGGGGCGGGAAGCCACTGGGTACCCTTCTGCCTCCTGAAGCTGATTCTGATGTCCCCGCTCCTAACTCACTGGGTTCTCCGGAGCGGGAAAGGGTGAGGCCAACACCCCCAAAACTTGCCTCTAGGTGGGAGCAAAGCTGTGGGCCAGGTGGGAAGGTAACAAGGAAGCAGCAGCAGAAGCGGGACTCACCGTCTCCAGGTCTTCCTCACATCCTAGGACAGCAGAAGGAAGCGGGGTTAGCCCGGGTCCACACCGCCCTCCCTCCTCAGCAGCGCCCAGTGGCTGCCGTCCCACCCCGACCTCTCCATTTCCCGCCTGTCCTCCGCCCCGCCTCTGCCCGAGCCTTCCTTCTCTTACCCTGTCCCCACTCGTCCCGCTCCTTCTTCGTGCTGCCCTGCTGTCCTCCTTCGAGGACCCGTGCTCCTTCCCCCGCCTGGCCAAGCCGTTTCTCCCCAACTCACTCGCTCTCCGCTCTGCCTCCCTTCCCAGCCCCACCTTTCTGTGGCTCCGTCCTTCTGCACCTTCTCGAGTGCAGCCGCCACCGCACCCTTCTCATCGCAAGGGCCAGAGCGCTTGAGCTGAGACGGAATATCCGAGCCTTTCGGCAAAGTTGCTTCCCCTCTCGCGTACGCCCAGTGACGTTTACTGCGCCCTTGGCTTTGTGTCTCCCCGCCTCGCTGCCCCTGTGGCTGCCCCTGCCCGGGCGGGTTGGAGCTGGGCGGAGCTGAGAAGCATCACAGCAGCACCGGTGGGCCGGGGCTGGGGCTGAGTCCGGGGCCCTGAGGGCTCCCCGCCGGCCCTCGGCCGCGCCTGGCTACGCTCCCGCCTCCTCGGGTCCCACCGCGCGGCGCCTGCATCCTCTGCCCTCCCGCCCGTCACGGGCCTCGGGCGTGCAACCCGGCCTCCTCCGCCGCCTCCTGGGCGCTCACCTCTCCGTGCGAGTCCAGGCAGCCCATGGTGGGGATGCGGCCCCCGCGGCGCCGTCCCGCGCGGACCCCCGGCTCGGCCAGCTTCTCCCGCAGCCCGCAGCTGATCCGCACCTCCACGGCCAGCCGCACGTTGGACCTCAGGCTGCGGCGGGGGCACGGCAGGCCGCAGCGCGGGCAGGCGGGCGGGGGCGCCTGGGTGCCGGGCCGCGGCGGCGCCCCCCAGCGGCGGGCCAGGCACGCGCGGCAGAAGCTGTGCTCGCACGCCAGGAGCACCGGGTCCTCGAAGGGGCCCCCACACAGCGGACACGTCGCCAGCTGCTCCAGACGCTCCACCAGCCCCGGGCCCAGCTCGGCTGCCTCCATGGGAAGCCGGGGTCGAGGCGCCAGGCCCTGCGCGATCCCCGCGGCCGCCTGCGAGCGCGCAGCGCCCCTGCTGCGGCCTGCCTCGGTGGCCCACGCTCGGACTCCCGCATCCACGTCCTCTCCGCCGGACGCACTCCCGGGCCGGCTCCGCCACGCCAGGCTTTATATGGGGGAGGAGGCTCCCGCAGGAGGTAAACATCACGCCTTGCGCAACGCCCATCTGGTTCTCCTGCTTCCCCGTGAGGACTGAGGAGAAGGGTGGGGCCCACGAGGCGCCTGGGTCCGCAGCCCGCGGGAGTCGCCAGGGGGCGCTCTGGAGGCTCGTGGCCGCGCGTGCCGAGGGAGCCCGCGTCCGCCCGAGGAGCCCGGTCTCAGTGCCGCCACCCGCACCATGAGCACCGGCACCGGGAGCACCGCCACCCCGCCTCGGTGCACGGCGCGCCGGCAGGGCGCCCGGGCTCGCTCTTGGCAAGTGTGCCCGCATCGCCAAGGTGTGAGTCATCGCGTGTGCCTGGCACACCTAACACCCGACCCCGGTGTGTGCGGCTCTGACAGCTCCGAGTGTTGCTCGGTGTGTGGGTCACTCCCCGCTGTCGCCGCTCTCCTCCCCACCTTCCGCTCTTACTCATTAAGGGCCTGAACCCCGCGGGAGGGGAGGGAGTCGGCGCCCACTCTCCCGCCCGAGGAGTCAGGCTGGGCTCCCTCAGCCTTGCCCGACCTCCCAGGGCCTCTCCTTACCTCTCTGCCTCCTTCCCACGCCTCTCTTTCTGGCTCTTTTTCTCGGGTTTCCCTCTCTGTTTTTATTTCCATGTCTCTTTCCCTCTCTCTTTGAAATGTACGCCAGGATTATCTGCTCAAGCTGTCTTGATTCATTGAGATGGGGTGAGCTGAACTCGCCAAGGTTAAGCAGCAAGGAATGACCAGAATGAGCCCTGGCTGTGACCCAGCTGTCTCTTTTTAAATTTACTTATTCTATCTCAGATCCCTGGAACTCTCTCCTCTTCCCTGATTTTTCTTCTGATTTTTCTGTGTCCTCTCTTCCCTGACCATCTTTCTGTCCTTTTTCCTTCTCCCTCTCCTCTTCTCTCTTCTTTTGCTGTGTGCTCTTTTCTCTTCCTGGCTGATACCTTTCACATGCCAGGCCTCTCTGTCTGGATATCCTTCCTTGGAGGATGGTAAATAAGTATCCAGGTGTATAAAACTGTGATCGTATATACCCTTGTACAACATGTGCGTATTCATTGATGTCCAAATGGGCACAGACTCATAGCAGATGCATTCAGAGAATGCAGACACCCCGGATATACTGGGCCTCGTGTACATTGAGTATCACTACAGTAGACACCCAGGATTATTTAAGATATATATATTCAAAACAAAACATTCAAAGAGACACTCTGTCATTAGTTTTATTGTCAAATAATAACAAGAAAACAACAGCCACAAGTCTTTATGGAGCAGCAATGCCGTATTAGGCATCCCTTCCAGGCGTCCATCTTCCTCCTCCCCCATGCCTGTTAGGGAGATGCTCAAGTCCGATGCTGTGATAAAAAAAACCTGCACAAACAAACACGTACACATTTATTTTGGCCCTAACCTCCCAGCTCACTGTTCCCAGAATGCACAGATAAAACTCAAGCAAAACACGATAGAGACACGATCAACATCTGTTTTTATGAAAGGTAGAGTTCTGTCTTACGGTAGGTAGGATAATGTCCCTCCAAAACTGCTATTCCTGGATGTATCTGGCTGTGAGATCTGTCACCCCACTGGTCAGCAGGGCTGGTTTGGGTGACCTGGCCGGCTAGGCTGATGTCCCCTTCTCCCCTGACAGCTCCATGTGCTTCCCTCCCAAAGCTGAGAACCACCACCCCTCAGAGGAGGACGTTTGTTCACTCAGGGGTATATGAGTAGCCGAGCTCCCCTGCCAGGACCTCCAAACAAGCTCTCTTGGAAATGCTATGTCCTAATTCCTGTGAACTGGCTATGTTACCTTACTTGGCAAAGAGGAATTAATTTACACATGCGTTATGTTTGATAATTGGGAGTCTCCTCCAGAGATCCAGACGAGTTCACTGTAATCACATGGGTCCCGAAAAGTGGAAGGCAGATGCAAAGAGGAGAAGCCAGACAGACAACAGCGGGCGAAGGACTTGGCCTGGCACTGCTGGCTTTGAAGGCTGAGGAAGGGAGCCATGAGCTGAAACGTGAGTGGCCTCTAGAAGGTCCAAACACCAAGGCAATCGCTCCTCCATCAGAGTACTGCAGGGAACAAGTCCTGCAGACTCCCCGAGTTTGCCCAGCAGTGTCCTTTCTAGATGTGCGAAATGTAGGGCCACTACATGATAAGTGTGTGTTGTTTCGAGCCGTTAAGTTTGTGGGAATTTGTTATGGCAACGGTAGGAAGCTCACACTCACGCTGCCTCTCTCCTAGTCCCTGTCCCTCTGGGCCTGTCTGCACTCATCTGTTTTCCTGCCTCCCGATTTTTCCTGTTTTCTGGATCTTACTGCCTTTCTTGGCCTTCTTCTTGGTCCTCTTTTGTCTCTTCTCCTTTGGGCTGCTTCTTTTCTTTAGCTCTATCCCTACCTTCAAGGCTCTCAGCAATGAATTCTTTCTGGATCTGGGCTGGCATCTTGGGGAGATGCCTGTGTCCCCGCAGGGGCCTTACATGTGCCATCATCAATCCCAGTCCCCTGCTGCAGCTAGACTCCTGATGCCTAGATGACACCTCCAACCCATTAAACCAACCCTCCGGGGAGGGCCCTGGCACGGACAGGTTTGAAAGCCCTGCAGAGAGCCCCAGTGCTTAGCCACACACCGTCTAGTCTGACGGTGGCGACAGTGGACCAGCCCCTCGAGTTTCACTCCTGCAGGTCGAGCTGTGGTGCCTCGTGTTGCCTGCCTTACGTGCCAGGCCTGGCCTCCCTGTGCACCTCTGCACTCACCATCCCTTCTGGTCTGGCCCCTCTTCCACCCAGGTGTTACATGGGCCTCTCCATCCTCCCAGTAGGTTTCAATCCAAAGGTAACATTCAGAGAGGATTTTTGTGGTCATTGTTTTTGTTTTGTATTTGAACCTGGGGCCTTGTGGATGATGCACTTTACCAATGAGCCACACCCCAACCCCAGAGAGGCCCTGGCTGCCACTTAGGCTTCAGGTATCTTCCCTCAAAGGTGCTCACTCTCTCTTTCCTCAGACATTCGTATTTGTTGTCTTCATCTTCATCACTGTCTGGACTCATCTATTCATCTATTTATTGGTTCTGTCCGGCAGACATCAAGCAAGGCAGAAGCAGGGACCCAGCCTTCTCGTGCGTGGGGGCTTGAGGTGCAGCTGGAAGTGTGCCGGGCACAGTTTCCCCATCAGCCCTGCGCTGGGCTGGGTTACTCATCACCAATTGGCAGAGTGAGAGGAGTACTTGGCTGGTTCTGCTTTGAAATGCTGGGCAAAGACCTTCTTACCCTTCTTGGTCAGCAGCTCCTCCTCCCTGGCAGGTACTGGGCTCTGCTGGGAAACGCTCCTGTGATGAGGGACGAGGGTCGTGGTCTGGCGGAGGGAACTGTGACCCATGTCGCCAGCCCCTTCTCTGCGCAGAGGCGAGCAGCCCTGAGCACGCTGCTCCACTCGGCCTTCACACTGGTGGCCGGGAGCTCACAGCAGTGCTTCCAGGACACGGGTGAGGGAAAAGGCATTTGGGGATGGCTCTGCCAGGAAAGATCTCACTTCTCTAGACCTTCTCCCTTCCTCTCCAGACTTCCTAACAACTCTGCACTTGATCTTCTGGTTCCCTCTCAGTTCACTCTCTTTAGAGAGGGTGGAGGTGGTTTAGTGTGTCGGTTTGGTTTTGCTTGCTTCACTTGATCACAGCTGGATCCTGCCTCTCTGTTACCATCCATATCTTCCCTTCCTTAGGCAGGTGCCTCCCACGTAACTGCCCCCACCCTTTGCTACCTCTGCCCAGGATGCCTACTGTGGCGTAAGACAGCACAACAACCATCCATGACACAGGGGATGTTAGAGGTAGGACAGGCCTTAGCCTAGCCCTTCTTTTCTTTTCCTTTTTTCTCCTCTCCTTTTGTTTGTTCTTCAGTCTGTCTCTTTTTTCATTTCTTTTTTTCCTTCTGGTACCAGGGATCGAACTCTGGACCTTGCGTTTGCGAGGCAGGCAGCAGAACCACTGAGCTAAATCCCTGGCCCATTTCAGCCTGTCTCTTCTCCTTTCAGTGATAGCTCATCCTCTTAAATAGTCCACAAGACCTTGAGCCTTCAAGATACGAAGGGTGTTTAGGAGACTGAGGACAGATCAGTCATGGTCCCTGCCCTTAGGACATGTGGTGAGGCCAGTAAAGTATATCCGTCATCAGCCGAAATCTGTCATTACTAAGTGTGTAACAAGGTGGATGAGGTGTATCCCTGATCAAGTGCATGAGTGGGATAGAGCAGATTAAGGATTCGGCTAACAGACTGGAGAGGTGAGAATGAGTTCAGAAAGGCGTCCAGGAGAAGGTGACTGTCGCGTTCGCCTTTGACCAGCAATGACGACGCAACACCAACGCTCTTCTTCTAGCAGTTTATTCAGGAAAACTTAACATTCTTTTTCTTCTACCCCTGGGGAGCACCCGTCCCTAGAATAAGTACCCCTGAACCAACCAATCACGGATAGTCATGTGGCGAATGCGGATAGGTACACGTAAGAGGGGGCAGAGCATCAGACACATCACAGCCAAATAAGGAGTTGTTTATCATAAAGAGCTCTCGCCGTCGGGATGGCGGAAGGCGGAAACCAGCGCCATCTTTAAGGCGCGGCACACGCAGCTCTCCACAGGTGACCTGAAATGAAGGGAAAGTTAGGTCGAGTAACAGAAAAGTGGGAAAGCCTGAACAAAGAACATGAAGCATACTTGGGGGAGAAAACCAAAAGTGGGAAAAGAAGGTCAGGGAGGTAAGAAGCACAAATGAAGAAATCAGTTCTTTTTCAATTCCCATTCACTGTGCCCTGCTTCATGGTTTTCTTCAATCTCAATTGCTTCTCTAATTACTTGTCTTTTAAAGTTTACCGTATGCTTTAATATGACTCCAAGTTCTCAGAAAAAGGCAGTTTACATGGAGCAGGCGTGGTGGCACATGCCTATAATCCCAGCACTCAGGAGGCTGAGGCAGGAGGACCACCGTGAGTTCAAGATCAGCCTGGCTCTGTCTCAAAAAGGGGGCGGTTTTCCTAAGCAACTGCTCCAACGTAGGTACAACATCCCCCAAGGGCCCTGGGCTTCAGAGGTGGGATTGAGGAAGAGCTAGAGTTGGAGGACTCAGCCAGATCTGCCCAGTCGGTCCTTAGGGCAATGACCTAGGGTGTAGGAATGTCACCCCACACGCCCTGCAGTCGCTTGGCCCTGCAACAGCTGTGTGTTTAGTGAGCACTCTGGGATTCTGGTGTGGTGAAGGATTTGACTCAGCTCAAACAGCTGGTTCAAGGGAGATCCAGGGTTGAAATCCAAAGTTCCTGACTCCAAATTCTGTGTTCTTTGTCTTAAACATTAATCTCTTCCTTCTGAGTCTTTTCTCGCTCATTTCTACACCCCCACCCCCCTGCTGCCCTCCTTCTTCTGTCTCCCTTTAGTATCTTTTCAGGGTGACAGTTTCTCTGAGACACCGTGTCTTCTTCAAGTTCTTTTTTTTTTTTTTTGGTACCGGGGATCGAACTTGGGACCTTGCACTTGCGAGGGAGGCAGCGGAACCACTGAGCTACATCCCCAACCCTCTTCTAGTTCATTTTGAAGGCTCATCTCTTCCCTGTGCAGTTAACAAGTGCCCTCCCCCATCAGTGTCACGGATATTTCTCTGTCCATCCTTCAAACTCGCCCGTAGACATTCGCTGTTCCTTCCCTCTTCCCGGTGTTCCCCGGCCCTCTTGTCTCCAGCCTTTTAGCACAATTCACCCAGTCCATGTGGTCTTGCAGCAGCAGCTGTGCCCAGTGCTGCCTTAGGGTTGGGGACACAGCGGAGAACAAGCCCAACTCAGGTCCTGTCCTCTGATAATTTAATGCTATTGGAAGAGAACAATAAGCAAGCAAATGAATACATTAACCAGGAGATTACTGGTTACTGATTTCAGGAATATAAAGTGAGTGACATAGGAGGTGTCACTACTATTGATTGGGTGTTTGTAAAAATTCCTCTGGCCTGGCCCGGGGATTTAGCTCAGTGGTTCTGGTGCCTGCCTCGAAAGCTCAAGGTCCCAAGTTCGATCCCCGGTACAGAAAAATAAATAAATAAATAAATAAATAAATAAATAAATAAAGGAAGACAGTAAAAGCTCCTCTGAGCAGGGGACACTGGAGCCCAGCCAGGCCTGGTGAGAGGACCCCGCAGAGATGAGCTGGGGAAGTCTCCGGAGCCTGGAACTGGAAGGATCTTGATGAAGTATGGAACCTTTCAGATCCAGGAACCAGGATAAGGAACTGGGCTGTGTACATTTTCAGTGAAGACCACATAGCCTAATTTACATATCTAGAAGCTCACTTTGTCTGAATAGACTTTTCTCTCCACTTCCTTTCCTAACTGGCATCTCCTTCACCTCATTTGCATTCAAGATGAACATCACATTTCTAGGTCTGCTTTACCATCAGGGAGAATGAATCTCTCAAACAAATGACTGGCTAACCTTTCAGGGGTCTCTGAGTGCAATCAATGTAGATGATTTGATTCTGGCTCCCACCTCTGGTTCAGAATTTAAAGACTCATAGACTCAATCAGAGTTGAGTGGGATATTAACAAATGTGGTTTAATCCTTACATCACACATAGGAAATCGGGGCCCCAGGTGACCTAGCTTGTCCCAGATAACTGAAAGTGCCTTTCTGACCCTCACCTCTTGGAATGCAGGAGTAGCTTCCTTCCTGTCTCTGAGGCACCTATTTCCATTAAAGATCCTAACTGAACATTCGCAACCTGTCTAGAGTTAAGGCCCAGATTCACAAGGCCTGGAAGGAGCAAATGGCAGGTCTGTGTACTGCAGGTTAGGAGTGCTGCCCCAGACCACTCGTGTCTGTGGGGCTCATCTGCCTTCCTCTGTGGGACAGTGGTCTCCACTTCATTTCTACTTTTCAAATCTCATGTAAGTACACTGAGTCAGAAGAACTTCATTCATGCCCAGAATTCTAGTGGCAAAGAATTGTGAGAGATGGAATTTTTATTTTCTAATCTCTCTAAACGAAGGGAGAATGAAGCCAAGCCATGAATCTAGGGTTGCCAGATAAAATAAGCATGCCCACTTAAATCTGAGTTTCAGATAAGCAATGCATTTGTTAGAGTATGATCACCAAATATTGTATGGGGCATATTTATACTAAATAATTATTGATAGTTATTGAATTCAAGTGGAAATGAGTGTTCTGTATTTTTATCTGCTAAATCTGACAACTCTACAAATATCCAGCGCAGAGCCTGGTGGCAGGGCTTCCTGTCTCCAAGGAGGTAAGATTTAAGAGGACAGAGTTCTTCATGTACAGGAGGAGGGAAGGGCTTTCAAGAGAGACAGAACAGACTTGCAGAGCCCCCAGGGCAAGGATAACTTGGGCTAATTTAAGCAATGCACAGTAAGCTGGAGCTAAAGACACACAAGATGATGATGATGAGCTAGCAAGTAGCAGATGAAGCACTTAAGTTTTGAGAAGTAGACTAAGACAAGACGAGCCACGGGTGACCCAGAGCCACTCCGTGCTGGTGGCTTTCCCCAGAGTCACACAAGGGGATCATCCTGAGGAGAGAAAACCATTTTGGAAATGTAGGTGAGAGATACTGGCTTCAGTTAGGGGGATCCACCGCAGTCGGAATGAGCAGTCCCATTTGAAGTATATTTTGTAGATATGCTGACAAAATTATTGAAGTGGTCTTTGGGGGTGAGAGTAAGGAAAATCAAAGATGAGTTCCTGAATCTCGGAGTGGATGACTGGGTAATGCAAGTGCTGTGACTGGAATGGCAAAGTTCTCACCGGCACATAGCCACCCCTGGTCTCTTCCTCTCTTCCCTTCCTTCTCCACCACCATTCCTGTACTCTCTCTCGTTCCTTTCTTTCTGCTCTGCTGCCATCCTATTTCCTAGACAGAATTAGAGGCTCCGCCAGTGGGATGGACAGAGTACAGTAAGCTAGAAATGGAACGGTCTCCTTGATTCTGTGACTCAGTTTCCTAGTGGACTTGGTAACCATTTCTCCTCTCTTCCCTGGACCCCAGAAGAGCTGAGGGAGGGCAGGAATGAGGGAGAAGGACTTGGACTGGAGCAGCTGAGGCGGCCCTGGGGGAGCACCAGCCCCATCTTCCAGCACCTAGGAATCCACTAGTCCAATCCCCTTCATTTAAAGGTGAAAAGCGGAAGCCCTGTATAACAGGAAGAGCCTACCATGCCTCTTGGAAGCAGTGGCATTTCAAGGTTTGCCTCAATTCTTGGGCATTATATCAGTGTGTGGGTGTGTGTGGGTGTGGGTGTGTGTGGGTGTGGGTGTGGGTGCTATTAGGAATTGAACCGGAACGCTTCTTTTCTTTTCTTTTCTGAGACAAGGTCCTGCTAAGTGACCAGGCTGCCCAGGCTGGGCCTGAACTTGCAACCCTCCTGCCTCAGCCTCCCATGGTGCCACCATGCTCAGCTCAAAGAATTATTTTAAGGATCCAGGAAATGTAATTAACTCAATAAATATTTAATAAGCACCTACAGTGTGCCTGCTATAGTGTTGGGATCTGGGAACTCAGCAGAAAACAAAGCAGACAGAAACCTGCCCTCATGGGGATTAACAAACAAATAAGTAAAATGGGTCATGGGTACAGAGTAGTATTCCTTATTCAAAATGCTTGGGACTAGATGTGTTTCAGAGTTAGGATTTTTTTTTCAGATTTTGGAACATTTGCATATACATAATAAGATATCTTAGGGACAGAACATAAGTCAAAACATGGAATTCATTTATGTTTCACATGTACCTTATAAAATAAGCTGAAGATGATTTTTTTTTTTTGGTACTGGGGATCGAACTCGGGACCTTGTGCTTTCAAGGCAGGCGCTGGAACCACTGAGCTAAATCCCCGGCCCCTGAAGATGAGTTTTTACAATATTTTTAAGGGTCTGCATTTTGATTATGACCCATCCCATGAATTTTGCACTTATGTTGGTACTCGGAAAGTTCTGAATTTGGGGATTATTTTCAATTTCAGATTTTTGGATTAGTGATCCTCAGCCCATACCACAAAGCAAAATTAAGTTGAGAAGGGAGGTGGGGATGGCTGGATGGGGGGCAGGTTATAATCTCCTAGATAATAGTTGAACAAATCTTTTTTTTTTTGGTACCGGGGATCAAACTCGGGACCTTGTGCTTGCGAGGCAGGTGGTGGAACCACTGAGCTAAGTCCCCGGCCCCAGTTGAACACATCTTTCAAGAAGGTGAGTGCATGCATCAAGTACTTACATGGGGAAGCTGTCCAGATGGAGGGGAGCAGGTGCAAAGGGCCCGAGACAGAAGCCGCTGGGGCCTTTGGGGCAGGCAGGAAGGCCAGGTGGCCAGAGCCAAGGGCAGTGAGGAAGTCAGGCGCCACTGGGCAGCAGCGCGCTCCCTGTGCTAGGTGGCGGAGAGGGCCTGCGGCCGGGCGGTGCCCTGGAGCTGACAGGCTTGCTGCTGGGCTGCATGTGGCTGCCAGAGGAAACCGGAAAGAGCTGCCGGGACTGGGCCCGGTCCCAGTTAGATGGTGAGATGGAGGTCGGGAGCCTGATGAAGCGCCAGGCCGCGCACGCGCACGCGGTGGGGCGCTTGTGGCCAGGAGAGGGTGTGACGTTATGAGAGGCGGCAGGAACAAAGAACAAGAACCGCTGGCTGGCTCGTGTAAATACCGGCAACTTCCGAGGCTCTTGTGCTCGGTCTACTGCGACATCGACATCGCGGGCCAGGGAGGAAGGGGGCCTGGCAGCCTCGCGGGGTCGGGCCCTGGGCTTCTCCCAGCACAGCGCCGGAACCCTGGCTCCTGCGGTCACGCGACGCCAAGAATATCAGGGAGGACAGGGACCATGAGTCAGGAAAACCAAGCCAGAAACATGAAAGGAAGTGTGTGGCCCAGCACGGGACTCAGAATGACCCAGAAAACCCGCCAAGCTCTGAGCCCCATGACGGACGCTCCCTCCCTGCCTCCCTCACCCGCGACCTGTCGCCCAGGTATCCTAGGCAGAGCCGGCACCCAGCCCGGCGCTCAGGGGCTCAGGGCCAGGGCCAGGGCCAGGGCCAGGGCCAGGGCCGCAGCCTCCCTCCGTCTTCCTCCAGGGCCTCGGAGGCCCGGCTCACCCTCCAGCCCCGCCCTGCCCAGCCCAGCTCTCCAGGAGGAGAATTAGACCTGGCCTGCCTCGGGCTCCGCGCCTCCCACCCGGGCCCTCCCTGCAGAGAGCGTGGCATCTGCGTGGCAGCCTTTTATCCGCCACCTCTGAGCTCCGCTGTGAGTGTCCTCGAAACCAGGGCTCGGTGGAGGGAGGCGTCTGCACCTGGCCTGGCTCCCTCCCCCTGGGGTGGAGTGGGGAGCATGGGGAGGGAGAGGCCTTGAGGGCATGGAGGAACCCGAAAAGCTCTTGAGATGGTCCCAAGGGGGCCGGGAACTGTCCTGGGAGGAGAAAGTCATGGAGAGGACGCTGAGCAGGAACTAGGGGAGAACTGGGCCAGCCGAGTTAGATGGAGGTCACGGGAGGGAGAAGCAGCAGCCCAAAGAGAGCAAGGAGCAGACCCGGGGAAGAGAGAGGGGAGTGGAGGTGGCTGGACCTGGTTTCATCCGAACAGTGGGAAGGTGGAAGTCAGTTTGGAGAAGCAGCAGTGATACTTTTCTATTTTTAGAACACTGTCCGTCGTCATATACTTTATGTCATGATTCATCATGGTATCATGACTCCCACTTAACAGCTCAAGAAACTGAGGCTCAGAGAGAAGTGAATTGCCTCAAATCTCACAGCTAGTAGGAATATAAATTCTCTACTTTTTGGCATACATTACAGCAGCAGCTACTTCCACATACTAAATGGAAAGGTGATATCACACTTAGGAAGTTAAGAATCTCCACTCCACAGGTATTTAAGGGGCAGTTTTTGTGCGCCAGCTGGAGTGCTAGGCGCGGAACTCTAGGACAGCCTGCCTTTGAAGACAGCTTCTAGTTGAGGAGCCTAGAAGCAGACAGGGTGCCGCCCAGGCTGAGGGCTTCTGGGGCAGCTTTTGCAGGTGTGTGGGAGGCGTGGAGAGGGCCTGGCAGGCAAGGCCAGCAGGAAAGTGGGTGGGAGGCTGTTAGGAAGAAAAAAGGGCTGCTAAGGGGACCAGCAGAGGAGCTAAGCCGTGGTGGTGAGGACACTGGACACTGTTACATGCACGATGCAGAACCACTGCGTGGGCTGGAAGGGTTAGGAGGGACTCTACAGCTACAGCACTGTGGGATTGCAAGGTGTTTTTCCATTGTCTCGGGGTAACAGGAATTTAAGTGAGATGAAGAAGCATTCATTCAGCACTCCTACATGCCAGTTGGCATGCAAAGTGCTTCCACATGCATTCTGTAACTCAATCCCTGAAGCAGTAACAAGCACAAGGGCTGGGGTGTAGCTTAGTGGTACAGTGCATGCTTAGTATGCGTGAAGCCCGGGTTCAATCCCTACACCCAAACAGCAAACAAACAGATAAAAGAACGAGGAAAACCTGTTTGTGTTGACATGAGAAGATCTATCTTTAAGACCGATGGTTAAAGGAAGCAAGTGCAGAATATCACATGAATTATGATTCCTATTAAAGAAATACATGCAAGGCAGGGTTTTGGTCAGGGACAGGGAGAAAGCCCGGATCATCTAGAGGAGGGCTACGGAGGGGGAGTGCGGCCCACTGTGCCCTCGCAGTGAGAGGGACGTGGAACTCGCCATGCTGAGTGTTTAACATCAACCCTTTATCCTGGGCAAGGCTCAGAGACCTTTATTTAAAAAGCTTGGGCTGGGGATTTAGCTCAGTGTTTCCATCACCTGCCTCGCAAGCGCAAGGTCCCGAGTTCGATCCCCAATACCAAAAAAAAAAGCTTTATTGGTATATGTTTCTGATACACAATAAACACCTTCACTACAGGGAACCAGTACATATGTATATCAGAGAGCTCCTCACTGGGGACAAATGCACTCTCTTTAGACTTGTTATAGAGCTTGCCAGGTGTGGTGGTCACGCTTGTAATCCCAGCACTCAGGAGGCTGCAGGTTCAAGGCCACCCTGGGCTACATAGTGAGACCCTGTCTCTAGAAACAAAAGGAAATGAAACAAGACACATTATAGAGCTTACGCTGGTGCAGCTGCAAGATAGAGTGGAGGAGGGGGGAGAGGCCAGGAGCCTGCACAGGGCGAGTCCTGTGCAGGCCGAGGGAAGGGAGCGGGAGGACGTGCCACACTGGTCTGTGGGAGTGGTGGGCAGCAGATCTGAGGCTGATGCCAAAGGGCAGGAGAGACACAGAACTCACTTGATTATTTTCAGGATTTTAGCTAAAGTTACACATGCAAATAAAAGTTTAAAAATTACGTGAGATAATTAGAAAAAATAGGAGCCCTTATCCATATCTCCACTATTTTCCACTGTCTTAGCTGATTTGTTTTTTTTACTGTTTGCTTCCATATCTGAAAATACTAGTATGAAATTATTACTACATGCTCTTTAACTTTAGACATTCTCTATTGATTTACTTTTATGAAAGATACAGACTTTTTAAAAAACCAAAACTTCAATTGGCTCAGAAACAAATATCCTCCCAACCCATTATCCTTACATTATAATTATTTCAGGGCTGAGAAGGTAGCTCAGTGGTGCAGTGCCTGCCTGTTACCAAAAAACAAAAAAGAAAAAAGAAATGACCAAAACAAACAAACAAAAAGCCCCCTTTAAAAAAGAACCCTTAAAAAAATAGCTGGATGTAGTTGCCCAGGCTGAGGCAGGAGGATTGCCGTGAGCTCAAAGCCAGCCTAGGCTACATAGTGAGTTCAAGAACTACATAGTGAGACCCTATCTCAAAAACAAAAATTATTTCCAAAACCCAGACCCACACACACATTCACATATATATACATAAATACATAGGTAAATACAGAGAAAATGGTCCTGGGCAACCACATCAAATCAGAATTCAGGGAGACAGTAGCCGAAGGAGACTTTCATCCTACCAGTCTTGTTTGAATTCTTTATGAATAAACGTGTACATTCATTACTCATGCAGTTCAAAAAAGAACCCATAAAACAATACAGAAGATAATGATGATCATTAACCACAAGTTTACAAATGTGAAAAACTGAAGCCCAGAGAACTAAGTAATTTGTTTGAGGTCTTGCAGCACCTGAATATATCTGGTAGAAAGCAGATTGAGCCTAAAGGAAGAGAAAGACAGGACAAGGGGACGAGACACAGACCAGCAAAGACGTCGTGCCTGTGTTGGAGAGGGGAAGGGAAGAACCTGGGCAGGAGTGAGTCAGAGAGGCGTTAGGAAGCCGAGGAAAGGACATCAGCAACAGTCAGACGAAGCCCTGGACGGAGGCTGAGAGGCCACGGCCCCACGTCCTTGGAGAGCCTCCGAGCACTCAGGAGCCAGGCATGTGCCCGGTGTTGATCTGCCCCAGTGAGTCACAGATCCCTGAGACTGACTGCCAGGTGAGATCACCACCCCACAAGGCGAGAGGAGCAACAAGGAGGCCCGTGGGGTCCAGGGTGCTGAACCTGTCTGGTCAGAGGCCATTGCCACAAAACCAACAAAGAATTCATATCTAATAGGTTTTCCTCGGGACTCAAATGAGTAGGTATGGGAGTCACTGGGCGGCTGTGATCCCAGGTGGGGTGACAAACAAAAGCAGCCTATCCCAAAACAAGCTCAGAGTCCCTGCCCCGGGAGAGCAACAAGGGTTTCCCAGGGAGGAGGAGCCAAGCCGGGCCCAGCCATGGCACCCAAGCCCTAGCTGCTCCCTGGTCACGGTCAGCTGCTCAGGGCCCAGGAAGCCTGTGCCTCCCTCAGCCACGGAGGTGGGCAGGAGACGCCAGCACTGTGACCTGGGACTTCACGGCCAGGTCGGGCCTTGTGCCTTGGAGACAGCAAGAGAAGTGCTGTTTGAAGAGCTCTTGTAGCGAACTGGATTCTGCACACATAGGCACACAAGTCCCAGCCCCACCACAATTCCCCACCCCAGGCCCCAGAAAGGAAAACAGCAGCCCTGCCACTCAGAAGCAGAGAGAGTAAGGAACAGTAAAGGGGCTTTATTGAAAGTCCAGCAAACCTTGACATGGTCAGATTAGATTTTAAGAAAGCATTTGAATGTCTGGAACTTTCCTTAAAATGCATAAATTTACTAGGTGTGGTGGCGCCTGCCTGTGACCCCAGCACTTGGGAGGCTGAGGCGGGAGGATTGCCATGAGTTTGAGGCCAACCTGGGCTGCACAGTGAGACCCTGTCTCCCACACAAACGAACAGTGCATGAATTTATAAAGCTGATGTATGAAGGAAGGGGTGGGCAGTGGAAATACATTTAGTAAAGCAAGCATAATGAGATGCTAATGACAGGCACTAGGCCGAGGATATTCAGGCAGCCACTGCAAGGTCCCTCCGACTCAGAATTCTGCCTGTTGAAAACATTCATAACGAAGTTTGGGAAGAGCTACTTTGGCTTTGGTCCTGGAGGATGGGTTGTGCAGAGTGGGCCTGGAGGAGAGATGAGGGGGACAACTGCTGCGACCCAGGTGGAGGCTGGTGGCCTGAGGCTGGCGGCGGTGGCACAGACAGAGTGGCATCCCGAGGTTGCAGCTGAGACCCCACAGGCTGTGAGAGTGAGGAAGAAGAGGGGCGTGACAGTGCAGACCAAGAGCGTCCAGCGTGGCCCTGTGTACACACACTGGGGCTCCGGGAGGTCACGGGGCCAGGGGCTCAGGGCTGTCAGGCTTGGAGCTGGGGTCTGGTCGGAGAGGTGATCATGGGGTGGGACCCGGAAGGGTCCGTCTCCTTCCTGCCCCAACCCTTTCCCTCCGCTTCCTGGCCACTGTGACGGGAGCAGCTTTTCCTCCACGGTGCCTCTGGGGAGTGCGTCTTCCACTCCTTTCCTAGTCTTTCGTTCTCCCCGTCCCAGAACCCTCTGGTCTTGACACTGGCTCTTCCATTAACCTAAAGTAGTGACTGCCCTTGGGCTCTGGGGAGGAGGGCTCCTTTTTCAGGGTTTTCATTCTCCTGCCATTCCTTCTTATACCTGACTTTCCAGTGAGGGATGGGGTTGTGGGGTGAACTGTGTTGGCCCAAAAGCTACAGCATGTTGAAGACCTAGCCCCAATACCCGTGAATGTGACTTTATTTGACAGTAGACATAATTAGGCTAACCTAAGTCACACTGGACTAGAGTGGGCCCTAGTCCAATATGATTGGTGTCCTTATAAGAAGAGGGAAATTTGAATAGAAAGACACAAGGGAGAGGGCAAGACTAGAGTGACATGTCTAGATGCCAAGGATCACCACAGCAGAGGGAAGAACTCTCTCCCAGACCCTGCCGACATCTTAGGCTCAGACTTCCAGCTTCCAGAACTGTGCAAATGTTTCTGTTTTTTGAAGCTGCTCGGTTTGCATAACTTTGTGTTACAGCGTCCTGGGGACTGGAAATGGGAGACGGGGGGGGGGGGGGGG